TTTTTACATAGCACAATTCTTAAGTAGCTTCTGCACAGAAAGAATAAAAAAGACTCTGAGGTCAGTTAATGGTATCTGTGTTTAAAAAAAACTCCTGCCAGATGCATTATTGTTTTAAAAAAAACAATAATAGCTCATTCTGAGATAACTTCAACATGAGTATGCGGTTAAATTAATTATAGCAATGAGAATTTTATGGAAAAGTAAATCTAAAACTATCCTTTGCTTAGTCCTCTGTTTTTCCCATTTTGGAAAATCACTGAATTGCTGATATCAATCCATTAAAAGGTTGTTGTTTTTTTTTTGTTTGTTTGTTTGTTTGGTTTTTTTTTTGGGGGGGGGTGGTTGTAGAAAAGGCTACAGGCTATGTACAATATTTAACATTTTTTTCTATTTTTTTTTCTATTTTATGATGATGTGACTGCAAAGCTACGGTGACCGGCAGCAACTACTACTTGGAGGGCATTGAACAATGAAAGTTGTCAATGTTTTGATTGTGTTTATTTTGTTTATTTTTTCTATTTATTTGCAGGTGTAGAAACTTACTGTGATGACAGACAGGATGGAGCTCGGTGTTATGGAGCTTTGGGAGGAACTGCGGACATCCAGCTGGTGGACAGCACCTCAAAAATACCAAGATACAAACTGTTAAAGAATTTATTAAAAATACTAGATGTCAGAAATAATAAGGTTATTTCTAATATAATACAAGATAGATCAGTCATTTTCCCCTGTAATGGGACATTTAGGCTCAGTGACCTGAGCAGGAATGACAGTGGTAATTATACCCTTCAAACCTTTGATTCAGATGGAACATCAACAGGGGAGCAGACTTTACAGTTGTTTATTCAAGGTAAATAATGAGAGTAAATTTTTCTCAGATTGGGAAATGATGACAATTTGTAGATAGAAATTTAACATTGTGAAATCTAAACATATTTTTTAACCTTTTGTATTCAAGGTAAATATTAATAGTAAATGTTAAAATACTTTAATAATAAAAAATTGAGGAAATTGACAA